ACTAACATCGGCGCAAAGATAAATGGATTGGCTTAGAGTAAATGATGAGTGCGAAAACAAGCTAAAACTGGCTTCATTTAATGTCACAAAAAGTAAGAGTACACACAATTTACTCAAAAGAACTCAGAAACTTTACTATACGATGGATAAAATGCTTTATTTTGATATTAACTTGCGAAGTAAAGGTCAGTATTCAAGTATCTATCTGAAAAAGGGAATACAACTAACTTATTCACAGTCTAAACAGTATTAATTGTACCCCTTGAAATCAGCACACTTCGAGTACTTTGATAGTAGTCAAAAGCTACAACGTAATTGCTAAAAACGTGATATACTTAGGATTTTCTCACATGCAATATATATCCGAAAGAGAGTCTAATGAAAAGATGTCACTATTCAAAACACCCGACAGGAAATAATACAAGCAATCACTCCTTTGATCAGACAGTAGAGAATTACTCTCAACTAACCACTAGAGAATAGATAATAGGTGTAACACAGTATTTATCAATAAGGAGAACTGTATCAATAGGGCTGAAGATTTGTTTGTTCGTGGGAAGGAATGCATACCACCTAGTTGTTTCTTTACCATCAGCTGTTGAAACTCCTGTGACTCCAGCATACAATCTGTTGGAAAAAATTCAAAAAATGAAACGTTTGGTGTGAATTCTTTCTCTAATTCCTCTTGATTTGCATTTTGATTTTAACCATGCTCTTTTATACTGTTAGTTTTATACTACTTACTATTATTGAGTAGTACAATCATATCCTTTAACGATTTAACCTCATAGGTAACCGGTGGTTCCCTCCTGTTCATTTTAATATCTTAGGATATTTGTGTATTTACTATTTCATAATTTTATTGTACTCATTTCAGTTGTCTTTTAGACATTTTATCCTATGATGTTTACGTTACACCTTCTACGCTACCCTTCGAATCCAAGCGTATTTGATATTTTCTACTCTAGTTTGCTTGGTACAGAGCTTTGTTCTTTAACTTGTTAATCTATATCCTGAAAATACTGTTAACAGCCATAAACTCACGGAACTGACATGGTTTGAAGCTTTTAGTCATCATTATTTACTCATACAATATCGTACTTCAGGAAAATCTTGTTTGTGATTTTACGCTTCACTCGAGAGCTTGGTTCATTTTGACAACGATTCAATTGATCTTTTCGTTTACGAATTTCCGGGAAGAAATTTACACCTGGATGAGTCATGAAACAACTCTTCAGTATAGTTTCATCAGAAGGTTAGGAGTGATCTTGCTGACAATGATTAACTGACGGTATACCTCGGCATTACACCAGAATATACTTCAATTTGACTGTAATTGGAGAAAAACATTTTGAGTCTTCTGCTCACCAATAACATCCGAAAGTATCCTAGTGTCATATCTCGTCCGCTGAAAGTGGTAAGGTCAGTAAATAATTCTGTGAAATTGACTTGAAAAGACCATTAGAACTCGGAAGCTTCTGAATCAATGGACGCATGTGAAATTATCCCTGTAGGCTCGAAGCACAATGAGGAGGGAAAACATCTGAAGTATTAACTGACAAGAAATTCACGCAATGACCGTGAGTAGTAAAACAAGATAGCCTGGTACCTAAGGCATTTAAAGACGGTGGTCATCAATTACTGGTCAGATTAACTGAACTGCTAGCTAGCGCATAGGAGTAAGACATGATCCCCTCTGATTAATCTCAATTCCACTCTTCCAGAAAGGTGAGAAATCCTCTCGAGATAATCACTATGGAATCAGCCTGATGAACATAGTGAGTAAGGTCCTACTCTTTATAGCGAACGGAAGTCTGAGCGGAACTCGGTAGCAGCAATTGTGAGAAAACCAGCCAGACCTTGCCGTGGGTTTGTCGATCGAATATTCACACTCTGCCAAATTCTAGAGACCAGACACACCTACCGACACCTGACACTAGCTTTTTCTCGACGAAAAGGCGGCGTTCGACACTGTCGACTGAGAAGTCTTATGGCATTGTCTCTCACTGAAAAGGGTACCAGGTACAGTTCTCCTTTGAGGGCTTTGTACTCAAACACCCGTGGGTGCCTTAGAGACGTGAGTTGTACACGTGGAGTGATGTAAGTCAATAATTTCCACTCCTTCTTTACTTATAGCTTAGGAGCACGATCTTAATTGTGTTGTGTCCTGAGTTTCATGGTTAAACAACCAAGACTCTTTATTCTCATTCAACTTCATCATAGATATACTTAATGAGATCTCCTTCGCAGGGACTGATCTTATCACAAGAGAATCCTTTGTAGGTCTGAAGCACGTAGCTGATATGGTTGTGTTAGGTGAAGACGGTGACATGATGCAGCCTTCTGAACACAGTGGCAAACAGAATGTTTGGAATGCGTTTCACTTCAAACAAATGCAAATTATCGCTCCAGGACTGGTACTCTGTTAAACAACTGGCAGCGAAATGGCTTAGCGCGTTGTCTTCACTTTACTAAACTGGGAAGTCAGATCAGCCCATGTGGGTCAATGACCGACGGAATTTCCGTATGAATACAAAAGACTTATTTGGCTTCCACCACCTTACACTACCTATCGTGGACCCATGAAATACAATTATCTATTAAGGGTAGAGTGTGTTGCGCTGCGTTCAAGTGCATGTTTGTGAAACATAGCCATCAGAGGTCGAGGATATAAGAAGGCTGCTGGTGTTCGACTATCATTCTCTACATGGCATAGACCGTGTAGTGCTGTCACCACGTGAATAACGTGGGAGTCAGGTGTATAGTTCCACGGAGAAGAGGAAAGTTAGTTGATGAGGTTGTGAACCTTTGTCAACTCAGTTGGCTCGAACACGTGCTACGTATGCCTAGTCACCGTCTACCTTGTTGCAACAAGTTACCTGAAGTAGGTGCAGATAGGAAGGAGGTTAGAGGTGACCAAACTAAACAGTGGCATCAATCTCTGACTGTTGGTCTGGGCTACGTAGGTAGATATAGACTTGAGGGATGGGATCCTCGTAACGACAGGAACCGGCGGTTGAAGACTCGAGGTGACATGGCGCCCAATCGGTCTTAATGGCGCATATGCATCTACACATCATCTTCATCCTCATACTGAATTCAATATTCGCTTACTTCTCCTTTTTCTAATATACTAATTTCCATTACTTTTTGCCGATTATTCTTTATTTCTTTATCTTAGTGCATTATCGCTTGATGTGCTGGTATATGTGGCTGCTTGGGCGGCTATGCGTGGTCCTATATTGATATTGATGAACTGGCTTACTCATCAAGTTAGTAGATTTCATCTTTGCTGACTTCGATTTTCGATAAAGGCAGCTGTCCTGACATACTATGTATTACATCTTTGACTTTGATTCTGTTTATATGATAATTGATCTTACACTCAAGCCTAAAACTAAACTCTCAGCAACCATATCCACCTCCACGTAGTAGACAGTGTGTGAGCCATCTCTACTTTGTGAAGGCTAATAATACTGTCCGACTGCCTAGACTTCGATAGATGGAGTATGGTTTGCGACCCGTTACCCATTGCTTGAAAGTTGTTCATCTAGACCAATGGGTCACAGTTCCACATAGATAAAAGGAAATGCAGCAAGTAAACAGTGTGTTCACTTTCAACGTGACTGGTGTGATTTTTAAAAAAACGTGAAGTTGTTTTCATTGCCAAATTATGTAGAAAACATTTTAAACCGTGTCCTTTAGGTGCATTGTTGACATTTCATAAAAAGGTAGTAGTTTTCCTATGGCAATCCTTATGGAAACTACGTAACTAATTTGAGAAAATAATGAAACAAACTACGATTATTCTGGTTGATATACACAGGCAAAAGTGCTGTTGCTCCTCTTCCTGCATGTTTGAAGGGTATAAGATTTGTTTTATGAAAATCTTTCTCTCTGGATGATAATATTAGTGCTGACCCGCCTGCAAGATATTTATTATGAAGTGATCAGTGAGTCTGGTATGTTAGTACTTTCAGAAATTTCCTGTAATATGTACTATAATCAGTCTTGTCAGACAGTGAGTTAAGATAAATGTGAACGTGAAGCTAGTACCTACCTCGTTACTAATGTTAGTCATTAAATACGTGTGTAGCTCAAGTTGAATGGTAAGTAGATTCACCTACGCAATAAGCTTGCAATTTAGTGATGAGATCACTCAAACCTTAGGTGTATTCACCTTAAGATTAATTGAGAGTGGCAAGTATGCCATGCGCCAAGCCTTGGTTATTTATCAGCCGTGCAGAAGAAAAAGATTTTGGTAAGTGAAACATTGATTATCAGAATCTGATTTTATTGTTTTGCATATTTAGCGAAAAAGCTGTTGTACTCAACCACATATAGTGCATGTACGACTCATATCAACACCCTAAACAGATTTATGATGAGTATGCCTGTTGATATTATCTGGCTACCCAAACCTTATAAACGGAAAAAGAAACTCGAGTACATGTCCTTCTGAGTGTCAATGTAACTAAGTCATAACTCCAACAATTCGACGTCAGCCAGCCCAAATCCAATCGAAACTCACTCAGAAACCATGGTCACATTTGTGCAACTGGTAATTAGCCACGCCTATTAATGGGAAGGTTACTGATACTACCTAGCTTCCCATACCTTTGTAGGTGGAGCAGAGTCCAAACCCGTGACCCAATGGTTGATAGTTGTCTCTCTATACCACTAAGCCAGCTAATACTGCTATGCGTATACACAAAATTCTCTGTGCAAAAAAATGAAACTTCAGAAGATAGAATAACACAGTAAAATCTAATGCATCATATGATATAAAATACTTCCTAGTTGCCTTTATTAGCTTTTCTTCGTAAAATTCTCAATGGTCAAGTATAAAACAGGAAGGTAACCATTCTAATTCAGGAATAGGCAGTAAAATGTCATATTTTTAGAAAACTTCAACAAGAGATTGATTGATTCATGCTGAATAGCTAAGTTTATAAACAAATACAATAGTCAGCCAGAAAAAAAAATAGTGTACAAACAATTTAACTTTTTGCATCTTCATTCTCTGTAAAATCGGTACTCAAACCTAATTTGTACAACTGGTCTACAAAATGTGGTCTGCCATAGCGTGCAAAGTGTACTGCATCTTCTTGATTAAATTTGCAACCACTCAATGGATCAATACCAGTGATATGACGTTTAGTGACCACTTCAATTGGAATTCCATTTGCTGCAGCTACTTCAGGCTTTGAAATGATCATCGTATGCTCAAACTGTGCTGATCTTAAACCATCTACAGTTACTGCAGTCCAATTATCTGGCCACAATTCATCCCGCCAGCTACCTTCGTTTATCATTGGTTCAATAGTGAAACAATGCCCTGGCTTCATAACACCAACAGCTTTATTACCTAGAAAAGGATAAAAAACAAAAGATGTATAGCCTTATAGGGCGATGGTGATAGAACCAGAGTAAGAATGCACCTCTTGAAGACCATGTGACTGGCTACCTCTAGTTTTAATCAAATGACCAGCCAGAAGCTCCAAACTCAAGCCGTCTACAGAAATTTCAAAGAAATTGTAGTACCCTACAATACACAACTCATTTTTTTAGACTAAGTGGTTAGCACTTTGACAACAATCAATTTTCTTATTTTAACTGAGTAATTTTCTCGGTCCACATTGTTTCCTCCACTGCAAAAGATGGGTTGAGCATCTGACAATCCAAACCAATTGTAACACTACCGGAATATTCTGACTACTATAAAAGTACTCATAAGACTTTACTATCTAATGAACCGATAACTTTTGCAAGAGCTCTTTACAGTTGTACATAATAAAACACGAAGTAGAGAAACAAAAAACAAATTTCTACAGAAACTTTATATCTTACCACCCAAATGCAAATTGTTATTCCGAGATCGGCCTTCAACGATACCTCGGCTAACAATAGTGTGAAGTGGTTGAGTGTGTCGACTACTTCACTTACTTCGTCAGTCGGATCAGCCCTAGTGGCTGAATGGCAGATGAAATCTCTGCACGAACACAAAAAGCTCATTTCGCCAACTTACGCCACCTATGGCGCCACCGTGATATCCGATTGTCTATAAGGGTCACATGTGCTGCACAGCACTCCGCTGTGCTCTACTGTATGGCTTTGGAACACGGCCATTGAAAGTAGAAGATATGAGAAAGCTGGCTTCAGGTGTTTGACCACCGCTGCCTTCGTAGTATATGCCGTATTCCAGTGTCACCACATGAATACCGCAGAAGCCAGGTGTAGAGTTTTAGGTAGAAGAGGTAAATCAGTCGACACGGTTGTGAACCTTCATCGATTGAGATGGCTAGCTGGGACACGTGTTACGTATGCCTAGTCACCACCTGCCTCCTCACACAATGTTGGCCGAAGTAGGTTCACGCTGGAAAAAGGCTCAAGGCGACCGGACTAAAACATGACATCAATGTATAAAGTCTTTGACTATCGGTTTGAGCCATGTGGGGCGATGTAAACTAGCCGGTTGGGGTCTACGGGACAAGAGGAACCAGTGGTTTCAGACTCTACGCGATCACATGGCTCAGAATCGATGTCAGTGGCGCAGATGTACACACACATCATCCTCATCTTAACGCTATACCAAATCTCACCATTTCCCCATTCTTCCTTTCTCTCTTTCAGTATATTATATTCCTTTTGACTGAATTTTCTTTTCTTCATCTTTCACTTCACTGCCTTTTTTACTTCGTGTGCTGATATGTGATATTGCGACTCGGACCGTTACGCAGTAATGCCTGGTCTTATGTTGATGGATGATGATGATTTATGTTTTTTTTCTACTGTACGCGAAAAAGAACCTGAAATATGGTATAAAAAATTTCTTTTTTCTCAGAAGACAGATTCAATTAAATAGATTCGTAAATTTCTTACAAGTGTTTACACTTTTTAAGGTCACGGATGAGGTGTCTATGAGACCAAATCATCTTTAACTGGAAACACTTAAAAATAGACTGATTGTTATCTCAAATGTACGATCAATTCTCTTTAAGGCCAGGTAATTCGTTTTTTTGTGAGGTGAGTATATTATAGAATGCATGGAACAGTCTACTAGAACAACTGGTTGTCAATCACCTCCAAATATTCATTAGTTTACTGGTGCAACTCTGTTCTACTTGACAATAAAATCCAATAGTTATTTAGATCTATAGATATAACTTGATTATCGTGTTTTACCAGATCGTTAACAGCAATTTTTTTCCGTAGTCCTTATATTTACGATTTAAATTCCCATGTTCACTAGAGTGACTTTGTAGATTTGTTGTTATCTTTTCTTCAAGAAATAAAGTTCATCTTGGTTAAAACTGAAGCTTGAAAACTCGCAAACAAATTTACTTCCCAAGAACTCAAAATGATAAATCATCGTAGGAATCAACCCACTAACATGACTAAAAAGAGATATAAACTTGATATTGTTTAGCTGCCAAGTTGCTGGATGCTTGGTGTTTCTTCTTTAGAAAAAATGCGTCCCCTTCTCCTACTCAACAGGTACACCAGCTGACTTCCATTTTTTTTTAAAACTATTTAGTTAAATGTTCTCCCACTCCAACTGCATGGCTCGATTACTCTTCCCTATGCATGTATGATCACCGTTGTAGAAGTCAGGTAGCATCAAAGTCAACTCTAAGCAAAACTTTTAAGAAAAGTATCCATATCGCTTTACCATACAGAGTTGAATAGCATAGCTTTGAGACGTAGTCTAACATCAGTCATGAGGAAAACTAAATATACAGCTATACATTATTTCGAAGAAAACAAAGCACATCCTTGACCACAGACCTAAACATTGCATGTGTGGTCAGACATGCAAAGGGAGGAGTAATCAAGCTGTGCAGTTGAAAAGGAGATAACACGTACCTAAATGGTTTCAAAAACAAGAGGAGTGTGCGACTTTGATGAAAGAAGATGGGAGATGACCCCCGTTATCTATAGTTAAATATATTATAGAAACGGGTCACCAAAAGTAACGTCTAAACGGCTTTAAAAGTTTTATATATAAACAATTATCAATATATGTCGCACGACAGGTAAGTAGTGTACCTCAGAAAACTCCCCGTGGTTTGAACGGATGGATATAGAGCTAGCCGTTCTAACAAAAACACCAACGACTGCTAGGTTGTGTAGCATTCAAACTGACAATTATCAAATAGAAAGTAATATGCATTATAAACCCTACTGATAATCAACCAATATCAATTACCCGTAAAACATTTGAACAATCCTATAAGTAACTGAGATGTATACAACTAAATTTCCCGCTTCAATATGAATTCAACTTACGTGAATAATGAGGTACATTTGGAGGACAGTGAAATAATCGATGAATTCCATGTCCGGTGTAAGTTCTAACCACAGAAAATCCACCAAATGAAGCATTTTTAGCAATCACATCACCCATTTCGCGATACTTAACACCAGGATTTACTGAAATATCAAATAACTGAGTTGAATTTAACTAAATGAATATAACTTTAGTTCATATAATAAGACTGACTTCAAAACAGGAAATAGAAAGAACGACACAATTTTAGCTAACACTCTTGGTAAGTCTTAAAATAATGGTAATAACAGAAATGCAATTCAGACTGTTGCATTAGCTTACCAGTCAAAACTGTAGCGCAACACCTGATACCTACCATTCTGGTTGCCTAATTTTAGCAAGTGGAACAATGTAAGAATAAGTCATCCGATGATTGAAAGTCAAGTATTTCAGTCGATAAGCCACAGCTGGACAATGAATGCAGTTAACTAGACTCAGATTATTCAATTCATCCAATCGAGAAACAATATTCCCGGAAATATAATTGTAGTAAGCATAAGTAATCCCCACGTTTTCATCAAATTGTGATAAGCACATTTAGGGACTAGACAGGAAATTGAGTTACATTACCATCCGAAACACATAAGAGCCAAAAATAAAGCTTTATCTTCCGGATAACTAGGGGATGACAATACATTATCAATGAGACCGAGAGGTCCTATATCAGACAGAACAACCAAACTCGATGTTTATCCTCTTAAAAAATCTGATCCTAACTATAATTGAAGTAATATGTTGACATACAGGGAATAATGCCTTCACTAATGATATACAGTTCAACATTGACGCTTTCTCTAACCAAAACTTTCCCTCAAAGGGAAACGTTACGATAAATAATTATAAGGTATCCCCTGAGTGAACTAAACACCGTCTGCGACAAGTACGTGAGTTGATCGCCATCATCCCTTCAACAGAGTACCAATTGCAAACAAAATGATAGCCATGAAGTTTCAGAAATCATGAGTGAGCAATGTACGCGCAAATCTTTGATGCGACATACTTTTTCCTCAAGGTTTCAGAAATGCCTCAGTGAGAAGGGTGTTTGCATGCACGAAAACTAGGTCAATCATGACTTCTTGCAGATTGACTACCAGTAGCTAACACCAAAATATAAGTTACATGCATTTTAGATGTGTTCACTATACAAACAAACGCTCAGAATAGGCACCGTTTCGATGTCAACCCTTGACGTCATCTTTAGAGATATCCGAATCACTGCTTCAGTATCTTAAATTACAGACAGGACACATATAGTTGTACTGGTTTAAGCTGCCTTACTGCAGCATAACAACCTACACACGCATAGAAAGAGGAAATCATAAAGAGGCGAACTATAATAAAATGTACATAAAAGCGTGTGTCAACAAGAAATCAAGACGTAGACACAGTAATAACACGTCTAAAATTCACGAGTATCTTCATTCAATTTCAAAAGGGATGTAATAATAAGCCTAGTCAGATAATAGACTAGTAAATAGAAGACATTTTTTGGTTAAAAAAAAAGAATAGAAATTACCTACCAGCATCCATAGACTTCGCTAAACATCGATATGCATTTTTCACTAGCCTTACTGAACGATCATCTGGCTGGCCAACAAATACAGTTTCATTCACATCACCATGAAACCCATCATGATATGTGGTAATATCAACTGGGGGAAAAAATAATGTGTAACGATGAAAAACTGGTAGATTAATTTTGAACAGGTTTAAGTTTTTACACAGCAAACGATGCAAACTGTGCATAATATGATTTAAATCGAGCTACGATTATTCCAAAGTCTATATTACTGCTGGCAAGGTGATTACGATAACGTACTTTTTATGGCTTATATACTTTAGCGTGGAGTTTCAGTAGAAGCATTTAGCATTACAGCTAGCATAATTGTATTATAAAAAGGGGAGAACAATTATCATACACTGAGCAGTCATCTCATATATATCGAGAAGTAAAGAATCCATTGAGCGATTTATGGTTTACACAAAAAACTGCCACTTGTAGAAAAAAAACTAGTCACGAGCTGAAATCGGCACAGTATACATCGAGAACCGTTAGATATTAAATAGTTTTTTTGTTCTAGCTTCAGTCTACTCAGTTGTTGGAATGTCACTTATAAGCTGACATTACCAACTTTAATTCGTTCACAAGGCAAAATAAGGAGGATGCTCATTTGATGCATATGGTTGGCATTATTATTCACTTTCCCAATGTATGTGCACAACCCACCATTGTTTCCTCTTTAGAATATGAAAACTCCAACTAAAAAGATAGTAATGAACACTGAGAAATATACTCACGAGTCTCCATAACATACATAGATAGACAATATCAATATGGGACCTGGTGGTACTATCAAACAGTTCAAGCTACCACACCTCATATCAGGACATCAAGCGAGAATGTACTACGATGAAAGATAACGAAGAAATTAATCACAGGTGGCAGAAAATCATCTTAAGGGAGCAAGGAGGAAAGACAGAGTACAGAAATTTGTCATGACGATCAAGACGAAGATATTGTTTAAGTATAACCGCGCCACTGACGTCGATTCCGAACTATTTCACCAAGTCTTCAAACACAGTCAAAGACTTCAGAGACTGGTGCCATCTTTAAGTCTGCCCGTGTTGAGCCTTTCTCAAGCTTCAACCTACTCTAGCTAACAATGCGCGACGAGGCAGACGGTAACTAGGTGTGCATAACACATGTTCCCACCATTTTAGTCGATGAAGGTTTACAACCTCATCAACCGATTTTCCTCGTCTTCTCAAAACTCACACCATTCACGTGGTGACAGTACAACATACGGTTTATGCCATGTAAGCAGTGATAGTCGAACACCAGCAGCCATCCTATATCCTCAACCTTTGATGGCTTTGTTTCACAGTTATACAGTTGAACGCAGCGAACTGCAGCACAGTACACTGTACTCTTAGTAGATAGTCGGATGTCATTGTGGTGTCATAAGTGGAGTAGGTTCTCGAAAGCCAATCGAACCTATCGTATCCATGCAGAAATATTGTTGGCCACTGACCCACCAGGACTGATATGACTTCCCAGTTTAGTGAAGTGAGATAGTCAACGTGCTAATCCATTTAACGCCCAATTGTTATAAAAGGCATCTGCGTTTGGTTGGTATGAAAAGCATTCCAAACATTCCCAAATTGCTAATTAAGCTGTCCAGAAAACTGAATCTTGTCAGCGTCTTCACCTACTAGGACGATATCATCTGCATGCTCCATATCTACCAAGGATTCCCTTGGATAAGATCAATCCCTGTGAAGTCAGGCAACGAGAGGGAGACCAATACAAGTACATCAAAGACAACGTAATAGAAATGGAGGGAGTAGACGTACACAACTCGCCACAGGCTCTAACACGCCGATGGTTGTTTGAGAACAGAACTCTTAACAGAAAAATATACTCAGTCGGCACTCCTTTTGACGAGAGGCATTGACATAAGACCTGTCGATTGACATAGTCGAATGCCGTCTTCGTGTCGAGAAATACAGCTAGGGTCAGGCGTCGGTAAGTATGTCCGAGTTCAAGAAACTGGTGGAGTGTGAATATCCGGTCGATACACCCACGGTAAGGTCTGAAGCCCACCTGGTTGCCTCGTGTTTGCTGTTCCCGAACTCCACTCAGATGTCTAATGATCACAAAACCTATAATCGTAGGCATTATGTTCGCCAGGCTGATTTCCCTGAGGCTATCATTAGGTGACTTCTTACATTTCTCTAAGACCGCAAGAATCAGTGATTCAGACCAGTCATTGAGGATCATATTTGACTCCCATACACTAGCTAACATCGGTTAATCTAACCAATAATCCTCTACAACAATCCTTAAATACCTATGGAACTAGTCTGCCTGGCTTTGTTGCTCTTCTTCGTTTCAGGTTACCTACCTTCTTCTTGACCTCTACAAGTGTTAAGCGTCCTATCTTGATGTTCCATTCAGGATCCAACTGGAAAGCGCGCAACGGGATAGCGGCTGGAGCCCAGGTCGAAATTTCTTTGAACTCGATTACGTTTCGAGCATAAATTATTGCTCATAATCATATCAATGTAATCACACTTCTTTCGACATCTGATTTTATAGTCCTGTCACCTGATCTCTCTTTGTTTTTTTGTTTTTTGATTGGTAGTAAAGTTTTCCATATCTCTGGTATAGGTGTTGCGTCATTCCTATTACATGTGTTGGGTGTGAATTCGATGAACAAAGATTCAGTAATTAATCTCTCTCTCCACCTAGCTATATTAGACTTAAGTACAGTGGTTTTGTCCCATCCTATTGTGTGGTTGTGTGTTAATGAATGTAATGCAATGGCTGAGTGTTTTTCTAGGTTATTGATCTTATTGGGGTCTGTCGTTCTATGTTTAGCTAAATTCCTATGTTCTGTTAATCTAACTGACCCCGACCGGCTAGTTTGACCTATGTATTTGACTTCACAGTCATTACATGGAATTTGGTAGATTATATTATTTTGCTTAATTGGTTCTATCGGATCTTTTAGCCGACACAGCTTACCTCTAAGTGAGTTTGTTGGTTTAAATGCCACCCTAATTCCAACCTTGTTGAGAATCCTACGTATGGTTTCTGATGTTCCTTCCTTGTATGGTATCACAATAGAGGTGCTGATTTCCTTTCTACTTATGTTGTCACTATTATTTGTATTTGTATTAGTGTTATTATTTTGCTTCTTATGCGTCCGTGTGAATTTCTTAATAAAATGATGGGGATAATTATTAGTTATTAACGCTTCTTTTATGTGTTTCAATTCCTTATTTAAGTCCTTACAATGACTAGTGAGTTTCTCAGCTCTGTTATTTAGACATTTGACTAAACCCGCTTTAACTGACACTGGATGAGATGACTTGAAGTCTAGATACCTGTTAGAATGTGTTGGTTTTCTGTAGACGGTAGTATCTAAACCACCATCTATCCTTCGTTTTATTCTGCAATCCAACATAGGTAATTCTCCTTGTTCATTTTCTACTTCGTAGGTGAATTGGATTGCGTTAACTACTGAGTTTATGTGTGTCAAGAAACTGTCGATATGTTCCGATTTCAACACTGTAAATGTGTCATCTACATATCGCCACCATATCTTAGGTGTCGGATTATATGTTCGTAAAGCCATATCTTCCCAACTATCCATAAATATATCTGCTACTATAGGGGATATTGGTGATCCCATTGCTACTCCTTCTGTTTGTCTGTATATCTTTCCCTGAAACTTGAAGACTGTCGAGGTTAAGCATAACTGCACTCCTAACATGATTTCACCAACCGATGCCTTGGTTCTTTGAGTAAGTTGTGAGTCAGTATCTAGTTGATTTCTGACTGCCTCCAGTGCCATATTGATTGGTATTTTAGTATAAAGACTTGTTACGTCAAAACTAACCATTTTTTCATCCTCTTCTATGTGCAGGTCATTAAGTTTTTGTTTCAACTCGTAAGAATTTACTAGTCTAGAGTTGGAACGGTCTCTAACAGGACGTAATACTGATGCTAAATACTTTGATATCTCATATGTTGGTGTGTTTCGGAAGTCAACTATCGGCCTAATGGGATAACCTGCTTTATGAACCTTAATAGTACCGTAAATTCTGCTAGGATTATTAGTTTTTGGCATTAAAGTAAACCATTCGGACTTACCTAGAGATGGCTTCAGTCGGCGTATCAGATCTGTTGTAGATTTCTTAATTTTATTCATGACAGTATCTATAGGTTTCTTAATCTCTTCATATGGCCCTGTTTGGATATGTTCATCCATTTTTTTAAGATAATCCGATTTGTCCATAACTACTGTTGAGTTACCTTTGTCAGATTTAGCAATTACTATACTATTATCCTTTCGTAGATTGTTTAAAGCTGAATTTTCCAGTTTCGTTAAGTTTCGCTGTGTCTTCTTTTGTTTTTTAAGTGCTAATGCACACTGCGCTCTAACCTGTTCAGCAGTTGTCACATCCACCGAGCTTAATGCTACTTCTATGCTAGGTATGACATCTTCTGGTTTTAGATGATCTACTGTTATGTTGAAGTTTAGTCCTTTTTCAAGTACTTTCATCTCAGCTGAGCTTAAGGCTTTCGAGGAGAGATTGACTACCCACTTTGTTCTATCGATGTTCGATGATGTTTCCTTTGTAATTTCATTGTTTTCCGAAGCATATTTTTCTTGCATTAGTTTATTGAACTTTTTGATTTGATTTCTTCTAGATTTCTTGAGATTTCATCGAACATCGATAGAACAAAGTGGGTAGTCAATCTCTCCTCGAAAGCCTTAAGCTCAGCTGAGATGAAAGTACTTGAGAAAGGACTAAACTTCAACATAACAGTAGATCATCTAAAACCAGAAGATGTCATACCTAGCATAGAAGTAGCATTAAGCTCGGTGGATGTGACAACTGCTGAACAGGTTAGAGCGCAGTGTGCATTAGCACTTAAAAAACAAAAGAAGACACAGCGAAACTTAACGAAACTGGAAAATTCAGCTTTAAACAATCTACGAAAGGATAATAGTATAGTAATTGCTAAATCTGACAAAGGTAACTCAACAGTAGTTATGGACAAATCGGATTATCTTAAAAAAATGGATGAACATATCCAAACAGGGCCATATGAAGAGATTAAGAAACCTATAGATACTGTCATGAATAAAATTAAGAAATCTACAACAGATCTGATACGCCGACTGAAGCCATCTCTAGGTAAGTCCGAATGGTTTACTTTAATGCCAAAAACCAATAATCCTAGCAGAATTTACGGTACGATTAAGGTTCATAAAGCAGGTTATCCCATTAGGCCGATAGTTGACTTCCGAAACACACCAACATATGAGATATCAAAGTATTTAGCATCAGTATTACGTCCTGTTAGAGACCGTTCCAACTCTAGACTAGTAAATTCTTACGAGTTGAAACAAAAACTTAATGACCTGCACATAGAAGAGGATGAAAAAATGGTTAGTTTTGACGTAACAAGTCTTTATACTAAAATACCAATCAATATGGCACTGGAGGCAGTCAGAAATCAACTAGATACTGACTCACAACTTACTCAAAGAACCAAGGCATCGGTTGGTGAAATCATGTTAGGAGTGCAGTTATGCTTAACCTCGACAGTCGTCAAGTTTCAGGGAAAGATATACAGACAAACAGAAGCAGTAGCAATGGGATCACCAATATCCCCTATAGTAGCAGATATATTTATGGATAGTTCATCATCATCATCATCATCATTATCAACATAGGACCAGGCATTACTGCGTAACGGTCCGAGTTGCCACACCTCATATCAGCACATCAAGTAAAAAGGTAGTGAGGTGAAGGATGAAGATAAGTGAATGCAGTCAAAGGAAATATAAAGTATGAGAAGAAAGGAAAGAGGAGTGACAAAATAGTGAGATTCGGTATAGCGTTGTTAAGATGAGGATAATGTGTGTATACATCTGCGCCACTGACTTCGGTTCTGAGCCATATCACCTAGGGTCTCCAACCACTGGTTCCTCTTGTCCCGTGGACCCCAACCACCTAGTCTGCATCGTCCTACATGGCTTAAACCAACAGTCAGAGACTTCATACATTGGTGCCATGTTTTAGTCTGGCCACCTCGGGCCTTTTTCCAGCCTGAACCCACCTCAGCCAACATTGTGTGACGAGGCAATCGGTGACTAGGCATACGTAGTACGTGTCCCAACCATCTCAGTCGATGAAGGTTCACAACCTCGTCGACTGACTTACCTCTTCTCCCTAAAACTCTACACCTAACTTCTGCATTACTCACATGGTGACACCACGGAATACGTCCTATACTACGAAGGCAACGGTGGTCAAATACCTGTAACCTTCTCATGTCTTCCACGATGGATAGTTGGGAAGATATGGCTTTACGAACATATAATCCGACACCTAAGATATGGTGGCGATATGTAGATGACACATTTACAGTGTTGAAATCGGAACATATCGACAGTTTCTTGACACACATAAACTCAGTAGTTAACGCAATCCAATTCACCTACGAAGTAGAAAATGAACAAGGAGAATTACCTATGTTGGATTGCAGAATAAAACGAAGGATAGATGGTGGTTTAGATACTACCGTCTACAGAAAACCAACACATTCTAACAGGTATCTAGACTTCAAGTCATCTCATCCAGTGTCAGTTAAAGCGGGTTTAGTCAAATGTCTAAATAACAGAGCTGAGAAACTCACTAGTCATTGTAAGGACTTAAATAAGGAATTGAAACACATAAAAGAAGCGTTAATAACTAATAATTATCCCCATCATTTTATTAAGAAATTCACACGGACGCATAAGAAGCAAAATAATAACACTAATACAAATACAAATAATAGTGACAACATAAGTAGAAAGGAAATCAGCACCTCTATTGTGATACCATACAAGGAAGGAACATCAGAAACCATACGTAGGATTCTCAACAAGGTTGGAATTAGGGTGGCATTTAAACCAACAAACCCACTTAGAGGTAAGCTGTGTCGGCTAAAAGATCCGATAGAACCAATTAAGCAAAATAATATAATCTACCAAATTCCATGTAATGACTGGGAAGTCAAATACATAGGTCAAACTAGCCGGTCGGGGTCAGTTACATTAACAGAACATAGGAATTTAGCTAAACATAGAACGACAGACCCCAATAAGATCAATAACCTAGAAAAACACTCAGCCATTGCATTACATTCATTAACACACAACCACACAATAGGATGGGACAAAACCACTGTACTTAAGTCTAATATAGCTAGGTGGAGAGAGAGATTAATTACTGAATCTTTGTTCATCGAATTCACACCCAACACATGTAATAGGAATGACGCAACACCTATACCAGAGATATGGAAAACTTTACTACCAATCAAAAAACAAAAAAACAAAGGGAGATCATGTGACAGGACTAAAAAATCAGATGTCGAAAGAAGTGTGATTACATTGATATGATTATGAGCAATAATTTATGCTCGAAACGTAATCAAGTAAATAATACTGTATCACTGTGCGCTTTATATCAAACAAACAAATCTAATATGGAACTACATTCTACCACAGTGCCCAAGTTTTTCACTTATATTTCTTTGAACTGTTCTGCTCTTTGTCCTAATCGCCTATCATGCGAGTGAATCACAGACGCATCCTTCTCCACCACTATAGTCTCACTGACCTTCGTGCCCAAGTTTCCTTAATAAGTCTAAATAATCGTCTAAAGTTACATATCGCCGCTGTCTTTTCCATCGTCTTGGCTGTCGCTTGCCATCACTGTCTGCAGTCGTTATGTAAGCTGCTTTTCAGTCTACACATGAGTTGTTTCCGATCTTCACCGTGCTCATACCTTGCAAGGGAGTGTTTGTGTGAATTCATTAGTCCAGAAGGAGGTGCTGCGATCTGCTGCCTCATGTTAACCACTCTATGAGAGTCGGTTATGGTGTTCGTCATAGTTTTTACGGCAGACTGGAGATGGTGTCAAGCTTCTTCTAAATGAGTGATGCTGTTGTGTTCTGATACCTGTCGGGTGAGTTTCTCACTAAAAGCAACCTCATTGTCTAGCTGTTCTCGCGAAAATCTTGTTGCAATAATTTTTCTGCTCTAAAATCCGAAAGGATTGTAACAGAGGAAAAAAGAACATTGTAGTCGGTCCTTTCATAGATATAGGCTCAGCGAGATTTCTTATCCCTGGGTTACGGACATACATATGGATAGAAGGAAAAGCTAATATTATCAATGCAAATTGTCAGGTTATATAAGTTTTCACTTACTATTCAAAATGTCACCATTTTCTAGAGGTCTCATATCCGGTATTCCGTGACATATCACCTCGTTAACAGATCTGAAATAATTGCCAAAGGGGAGGAGAAGAAGTTAGTTTTCGCAATTATATAGTCTAGTCACACACTGCACAAATACTGATACTGCATAATACGTTACACAAGTGGACTGGAAATTATCTAAAAACTCCCTATTACATGAAATAAATTTAGAACAAATCATTTATTCTAGGTGATGACTGAAGGTGAAGTGAAAATTTGGACCATTGCCAGATCCAAACCAGCGACCACCGGGTTTCCGATCCAATGCTCTACCAAATGAGCTACGAGGCCGGACTACTGACCAGATTTTTATTCCACTACAATCACCAAGAATTTGCCCTATTACCAAGTGAATTCGTGACGCGTTACTACCGTTTGAGCGTACTCACACCGGCTGCCTAGTCAGGACTTCTCATTCTAGTCCATTCATATGGTAGCCGGGCAAAACCCTTGGGGATTGAAGTGAAATAAAAATCTGATCAGTAGTTCGACCTCGTAGGTCATTTGGTAGAGCATCGGACAGGAAACCCGGTGGTCAATGGTTCGAATCCGGCCCCCATCCAAATTTTCATTCCACCTTCAATCATCATTTAGTAATAAATACTATTCTGCCAAACTACGGCCATCTCAGATATTCATATGATAATTAGAAGAATCATATTCGATTAAATACGGATGAAGCTCAGAGTTCATAAAGTGATCGAGCAATGTATTATTATCGCCTAAGATTGAAAAAGAAAAGGTTAAACTCTTAAACTCAAATGTTTAAACAAATCGTGAGAAATTATTTTGAAGATGCCAACAATTCCTGAAAACTCGACCTTAAAATGGCAGAGATCCAATTATTTTCAATCATACCATTGTATGAAATTTGAATCTCTACGAAATTTTAGATCTGATTTCATAAACTCACTCTGTGTAACTAGTCCGAAAGGCTATTTTTTGCCAGAGCCTATTGATACATATGACATTTGCCTTGATCATCATTTGCTCAGATTGAAAATAAACACTGGTAATTTTTTTCCAGCTTTCTGCTGTTTCAGAGATTGGATAACTGTAACGTTGTCTATGTGTTCAATATCCATTCTTATCGCGTTATAAATTCCAAAACATAACATCACTTTACTATCCCAATTAACAGTATATAATCACTAGAAATTTAACATTCACTGTAATACAACAAATTGGATTGAACAAAAAAGGATGACATTTAATAACATTAACCTTAATTGTAGATTAAATACATAAATGCTGTGTAGTACTGAAGTTCACAAGGAATATGTGATATACGAAGTGTTATTCTGACCGTTCTTAGTCTTCTGATACGTGGGTTTTACCAGCTGTTTGTCAGTCAATTTTTTAAAGTATCAGTTTCATTCAGTTAACACATCAGTATACCAAATACACGGAGGTGATAAGCTTGTATTTTGCCGTTCATTTAGTAATATGAAAATCTCTATTCAAATGTTAATAAATCTGCTGAATTTCAAACATTTAGTCAGTCATCTAATACGACTCCATATAGATGTAAATGTTTCTATGAATAACCGTAAGATGACTTGGAATAACCCAGACGTGGTAGAGTTCTCTCACTAACCTAAATTACTCCCATATGGTAATGTTTATAGCTCTTATCAGAAAAGTTATGTTTGGCTTTTTCTTATATGGTAAATATGTTTTCATAAACCTCGAAGTGTAAAACGAAGAGTTCAATGTTTAGACTAAATCAACCGACACAGAAAGTTCACCTGTGGGAATTGAAAAAGCCCAATACTAAACAAATGATGAACATAAATAGGATTCCGAAAAAATAAGGTGTGCGAACCTGTTCTAGGCACCGACAATCATAGGGGAACAACACTGTGTCATTTCTTTATGCAATAGACCTTAAGTCAAAGGCTACGAGGGATGATTTTAGACATCAATCACTTCGTGTTCGGAAGTCAGGAGGAGAATTTGAGCCCTAACACATAACCATGACATAGCTTTCTACAATAAAGTAGAGCTGTGGCACACTGGTTCAGGCATTTGACTTTCAACTAGTGGGTCGTGGGTTCGAACACCGCTCCATCTATCGAGGTTTGGAGGGTCAGGTAGTATTACCAACCTTCACCGAGCAGGTGGGGCTTACTGTCTACTGCACGAACTTTTGCAAGGTTCCTGAGTGCGTATGCTGTGCATGCTATGTTGGAGATTTAAAATCGCGTAACCAACTTCCCTCGGTACTGTTGTAAGATTTTTCGAAACTTTCGGATCACCACAACCATTAGTGATGCCAGATAGTAACTGAAGGGGTTCAATTAAATTTTCCCTCAGAAAATCTATATCCAGTGAGCATCACTTCGAATTGCTGTGCTGGAATGAACGGTGTGTCGAATCGTTCGTATCCATTTGTTAGGTATAAAAAGTGGTGTCCAGGTTTCAAACGTATCCTAAGACAATCTACTTTATTTTCTACAATTCATCACTTGCTGCACAAAATTTGATCGTTCAAATAAGTCCAACTATTGTCAGTATCATAACAATTAGACTACTGAATCAGAGATGTGAATCCCTGGTTTCAGCATTTGACTTTCAACTGGTGGGTAGGGGATTCCAACCCCTACACACCACCTATAATTCAAACAGAATAACCAGTTATTATCAAAACTCTGATACAATAAGTGTGGTTAATAGTGCAGTAGATAAACGAATAAATCGCGCTGAGTGGTACTATTTTTTATTATTACAGGAGCACTGATTTATCGCCTCTTAACGAGGTTTGAAAGGATCGGTGTGTCATTTATGTTTCCTGTAGCAAATAGTGATGATGAGAATTCAACTAAAATGATCAACTGGCCTTGATCTTAATGTAGGTGTTTCCGAAAAGAAAAAGTAACTTTGGAGGATCGATTTCATCCAATAGTGTACTATGAACTGACTGATTGTCAGCCGGCAATCAAGTTAGTGTGCCCGTGGAAAAATGACAAAAAATATTTCCCCTTCATATAGAAAAGGCATTTCAGCTGTCAGACTTACTGAAATGATAAGATTTGACTGGCCTAACTACAATACTCGGTTGACTGTTAACAACTTAGTGATTCGATTACAATGATGCTATACGGAATATGATCTTCATACGTCACTACAAACCTATTTATTTAACTAACTCAACAAGGCTAAATGAGTCACATTTACTTCTACTAAGCTACTACAACTCCATTCCAATGAACTCAGTCGAATTTACATCGACCTAGTTGTATTATGTTTACAAGTGCATTTATGAGAGGAAAATGGGATTTATCATTCAATATCAATGTAAATCCTGACACTCTAAATACCAACCCCAGCAAACAATCAAATCAAAAATTTGGACTATTGGGTTCTGCTTTCTAATGAAAGAAAGAAAGTTAACTGCGTACTTTGATTACTGTTGGGTTGGACTACAGAGTCGACTGTATGCTCATACCAATTGATGAAGTAGGGTACAATCAAACGTCGAATCAGTTGGTAATTGGTTGATAGATGTTAAAAACTATTGAAGCATGAGTACTTCCCGATGAATTTGAGCTCAGTAGTCGGGTTATATACTCGTGAATGATCCCTTTATTCAAACACAATATACACTGAACCTTTCAAAGCTTTTTCGTTGTTCACTTATCAGCAAAGGCAAACCGATAAACATGTGATGAGGTGACTTTTTGTTGCTATACAGATGTGACTTCATAACTACACCAATTACCAACTCAGACCCAAATACTGCAGTGATATTCTCTCTAACTTCAGTTCGGAGTTGTAAAAGGTTAAATCTTTTAAAGAATATGAGTCTTCTTTCAAACTGCACTTACGCCTTGCCGATGAGTACCAACAATCGCGAATCAAATGTACAGGGCTTTGTTTCAATCGATTTCCAACAATGTACTGGTGGATGATACTCTATTCACAGTCGATTCGTTACTGGTTGATGCCAACAAAATCAGAAAGTCACAACACCTTTCTTTTTTGTAATTCCTACCAGTTTGACTAATATTTAATTGTGACTCATTTCAGGGGTAACTTTAGACAAGAGGAAGAGAAACAATTCTATTACTCTGTTTTTTCTTAAAAATCTATAATTTACTTTTACTAGTACAAGACTTACGTGCAACATGATTTCGGAAAGTTGTAGTAGTTTAACGGAGATGGATAGCAATCACGTTCCATACACGCCTAAAAGTGAAAGTTGTAAAAAGAATACAATACTGTATATTCATACATAACAACAAAATAGAAAAAGTCAAACACAAAGACCAGTAAAGTACAGCCCAATGAACCCTAACATAACTGCAACTGATATTCCAAGAGATAAAGCTGTAAAAGGTTGTGAAGTTGCTGTATTATTTACTATTCCAAACTCTAAAACGGAACACTTTCTGCGATCATAACAGTACATTTATCACAACCTGAAACTGTAAAACTAGGTAAAAACAAGTAGTTGAAATGAATTCAGTCTTTGCTGGCACTCCATTTACCATGTCTAAAAATAAAGATTTTGCTAACTGCTTGGAATGAATTCCAATTATGAGTAATACTGGGATGAATATGCAATTTCAAGTAACGTAAGTCCATTTAAAATACAAGTGATATTTTTCAGTAACTGGTGATAATATGCAATGCATTACACTGGGAATAAATACACATATATAAACACTATAGTCAAATATTTACCTCATGTACAATTCGATCGATTTCATCTGTTGTCACACCCACATCAACAGCGTTTACTGCTTCGTCTAACACTTCACGGGCAAGCTGTAAATACAACAAAATTCAAAGCACATAGGTGAAACATGAAATGTACTAATAATAATTATCATCATTGTCATCGGCAGTATTACTATTATTACTACTATTATCATAACTATTATTATTCTCATTGTTACAGTTATAATTGTCACTGTTATCATCTGACGAAATACACCCATTTATTCATTAACAAGAACAAGGCATGTATCAGCTGATACATGCCTTGTTACCGTTATCATTATTAGTATTATGGCTAAAATCATCCGCATACAACGGAAGTGCGGGAATAAACAAATTTATCTGTGAAATCCCGATACTACCTACTCAGTTGTACAGACCGAAGTAATTTGAGCTAGGCCTGAGCCAGGACTTATTGTCTAGAAGTTGAATGCTTAAGGTAATGAATCAGGCCGCAGACGAGTGTAAACTACACTTGTTGTTTAGGGGCTCTCATCATCATCATCATCATTATCAACATAGGACCAGGCATTACTGCGTAACGGTCCGAGTTGCCACACCTCATATCAGCACATCAAGTTAAAAGGTAGTGAGGTGAAGGATGAAGATAAGTGAATGCAGTCAAAAGAAATATAAAGTACAAGAAGAAAGGAAAGAGGAGTGACAAAATAGTGAGATTCGGTATATCGTTGTTAAGATGAGGATAATGTGTGTATACATCTGCGCCACTGACATCGGTTCTGAGCCTTATCACCCAGGGTCTCCAACCACTGATTCCTCTTGTTCCGTGGACCCCAACCACCTAGTCTGCATCGTCCTACATGGCTCTCACTGACATGTTTATACTACAAAAACTAGCGCAACTGGAAGTGAATGATCTCAGTTTTTCAACAAAAAAAAGTAATACATCAAAGCTAGCAAATCCTAGTCTGAGTTAAACGGTATGTTAACCCAGTTAACAGACGAGAAGTCTATATATATATATATATATATATATATATATATATATATATATATATATATATATAATTTCCAAAAAATAAGTTTTCACAGTTTAATTATTCCTATATTTTTTTATTCCAAGTGAATTACCTTTCCTGCAATACGCATACATTCGACTTCATCATCATCCAAAACTTGAATAGAATGGGAATCTTTCCCTTGGCGCTCAGAAGTAGGTATTCCTGTGTAGCCAGGATTAAAATGAGGAACTAATCGTAATCTACCTGTAACAGCATAGTCCGGGGCCTTTATATAACTTTTTACTTCCCTTTTAGGCGTCTAGAAAAATGGATGTTAACAGAAAGAAAAAGTTTACCTTCCTGGCAGGTCGCAGTTGACCAGTAAATTTATAACCGATGAATCTATCATCATCATACGTCTCTTCTGTAACAAAGTAGGAAATTGAAGGGATGACATATGCACTGACCAGTAACAATATGTGCTGCTTTATGTGTTTTCCAAAACTGTTTGAAACATTCCTCAAAAATAAGTAACGCTTAGAAAGTTTACAGTTACATACTTGTGAGCAAAAGAATGATGTTGTTATCCCCAATTTAATGCATACTGGACACCTCAGAGTGGATGGTTTGCCACACGATGGAGTTATACAGACGTTCGTCATTTATTTTATAAAAATGTATCGAACGCCTAATTGAATGTTAAAGTCTGAAAATGGCAAAATATATCTAATACTCATAAACTTCGGATACTAGGAGATATATTTTGAGAATAAGATATAACCAAAAACACTACAGAATACAAATAACATTACATAAACTGTTAATCTAAACAGAAAATAAAAACTACAGTATGATGAATAGTAACAACGAACTAATACTACTGCTATTAGACTGGCATGTGTTGTGAATGGTGCGGGTAGAAATCCCCGAGTTGAACATGAGCTTAGGGGAAGAATATTTGTATGATAACTGAATTCGACATGAAAATTTTAAGATGGGACCCAAATGCAGTACCAGTCTGTCTTATGCCACCAGTAAATGAAAGTTTACAAAAATGATACGATAGAAGTGAAAAACCAATTAGAATCAATGCATGACCTGGCATTCCTGCATACGGGTCAGAGTTACCATACCTCAGATCGATTCTGAGTCATACTGCATTGAGTCTTTAACCATTGATTTCGGTTGTCATGTGAACCTCAACCAATAAGTCTACACCTTCCAAAACGCCTCAAGACCAAGTCAGATATTTCACTGACTGGTGTCAAGTTTCATTTTGACCGCCTCTTACTTTTTTCAAGCCTGAACTCACATCGGCTAGCGTTGCAGGATAGGGTAGATGGTAACTAGGCATGTGTAACATATGCGCCAGTCGTCCGAGCTGATAAGCGTTTACAACCTTATCAACTGACTTATCTCTAATCTACAACCAAACGTTGAACTTCTAAGATGCTAACTTGATGGTTACAAAACATACGACCTATTTTACGAAAGCAACGGTGGCTGAACCCTCCCTCATGTCCTCCGCTTTTGATGGTTAATGTCTCAGTCCTCCAGTAGAATAGAGAGAAATGCTGTGCATTATAGTCAACTGCTAGAGGTAATCGAATGTCACTTCAGTGCTATAGATGGTCCAAGTTAGCAGAAACCCAGTGGGCTTTTAGCATAGGTGTAGAGATTTCGTCGATTAGTCACTCACTACGGCTGACCCAACTTCCCAAGTATGCGAATCGGTCAACAGATACACCGACTTCGCCCCCTACTGTTAGACAAGGCACCAGCAATGACCAGTCCTGGAGCAACGATTTGTATATGGGTGTTGAAAAACGCACTCTAAGTATTTCTAAATCGCTCCTCAACGTATCCAGAAGACTGTATATTATCAGCAACTTGGCTTAAAATGACTATCATTCGCATACTCAAGGTCGACTAAGGAGTCTCTCCTGTGAGTCAATCCCCCTAAAGTTAGACGAGGAGGTGGAGGGGGGTGTAATGTTAGAATATGTCGTTTCCTGTGAATTTTGTGCATTAGGCAATGAGCTATGCATGTTATGTCACAGGTTATGATACGAACTCATAATCTGAACCTTCGTAAGCAAATAGAAGTCTGAACTTTGGATCCACTAGTTGAGAGTCGACTATATGAGCCAATGAGACAGATATGAAATGGTAAAAATGCATACAGAGGTAGGTGATAGTCATTGCAATAATATCACAAAGCCGACAAGATCGATGAAATAGTATGCAACTTGTTGATCGATTTAGTAGCGTGATAACAGCTTGATACATAAACATGTTTCCAAACTACTTTATCAGGCAGAGATAGCAGCTTTCTGTACTGTTTGTCTGAGAGTGATGGGGAAGAAAACAAGAAAAAAAACTTCATACTCAAAAACTAATTCTAGTGCAGATTACGCAGAACCCAAGAAGCCTTCGATCACTACTCCTGAGGCAACTCTACAAAAGAAAACTACTTGTATCTTCATAAAACTAGTTAGTGGGAGACGGTTGCAGGCGTTTTTATTGCATATAGTAAGAAATTGGGATATATTTGATCTGTGTGCAACCAGAATAGTCTACTGTACATTCAGACGTTATAGGCTTACAAAGTTGTCAAGTAACTGGCCTTCCTTACTTGTTACCCTAGGCCTAACCCCAACAAGGTTCACAGTAGTTCCCCCACATACGAACAGTGCTATAGAGATATATGATTAGAAAACTTGTAACGTCTTCACATCTAGGTTCAACAGCTGTCTTAAAAAAGTAAGGTAGGGCTGAGTGGATTGTTGTGCAGTAAACTTATCGTGACAGGTAGTAGTAGTAGTAGTTAATTACTTCACAAGTATACATGGACAGTGCAATTTGGTGAATGTAGAATGAAGTTTCTGCAGTTTTTTGAGATTTCGTTAGTAATTATCAATTAAATATGACGCATATTCCTACGTAAATGTAGTGTTTAAAACTGTAGCACTAACTGAAATATGGTAGGACGCAGATCGGTGCTGCTAGGTTATTTTAAGTATATCCGGTATGAGAGGTACCAAATATCCTCAGAGTTCCACTCAAAGCACTCAAAAAACCTAGCATTTTGTCAGCATCTTAACCTCCTGCTTATATGTGGACTTAGCGTTTTCACCTCCCAGTTGAGCACAGAGAGGTTTTCCCGACAGTTCCCTGAGATAATCTAAGAGCACCTACGTGCCTGCACTACGGTATGATCACTTGAAGTAGGAGGGCCACCGATCCTCTCAAAAAAAGGTTTATGATAGCAAATTGTATGTCAACATGTGTGCACAGCAACGTTAGGGGACTAAGAGAGAAAGTAGCAGAAGTGAAGATGCTGCGCGAACGCCAGCACTCTGATATCACATTTGTCACCAAATCCTGTCTCACACTAGACATCTCCGACAGAGAAGCGTGTCAGTGGCATGGAATTCTTCAGCAGGGACAGAGAGCTCAGAGCGGGAGTGGCTATTTACTTAAGCTCTAGCTTAAAGTCAAGAGTGGTCAGCGACATGCCTCAAATCCAGCCCCTGGAATCTCTATGATGTTACTTCACCCTTCATTGTATCAAATACCTGCTCGGGGTCATCTCTCGGCCCTCCACTATCTCCCTTAAACATAAGGAAATAGTCATAAAGGCAAACTTGGCGACCTCTTCGGTAGATTACAACTGTAATTATCGCCAGTGACTTCAACACTCCATCTTCGAGATGGGAGGCACACCATATCCTTCAGTCAGAAGTTGAAGAATGCAATTATGACTGCTGTTCTCTCAGAAAAAGTGGATGATGCCACACGTTGGGGTCCTGATGGAAATGCATCGCGCCTGGACTACATTCTAAAGAACGATGACTTCATTGGGGACATATGTATCGAAACCCCTCTTGGTCCATGATTATGCAGTAATTACCACTATCAACATAGGACCAGGCATTACTGCGTAACGGTCCGAGTTGCCATACCTAATAGCCATGCAGTAATAACTTTCTTCATGACTACTAAGGAGGCTCTACGACCGGAAATGCCCAATACCTCTTGCTACAGTAAGGCCAACTATCAGACCATAAAAATTACGTCAGAAATGCATTACGGCTCGTAGACTGGACTCATAATAGATGAACACTAGATACAGGTGAAGGAATTAATCGTTGGGGCCGTCGGTCACAGTGTACCAAAGATAACACAAACCGTCAGATAGAATCTCATGGCTAAAGCGTAGGACAACGAAGCTAATTCCGACCAAGAAGCAGGCTTCGCCTAAGTGACGTTCATCACGCAGGGAGTCTGACTTCTTGAACAACAAAAGAATTCGCAACCGCTGCAACACAAGGACATAGCGACAAGTTTAGCTATCAAACAAACCTGGCGGGGAGGTTACAAAGCTATCACAAAAACCTGTACCGCCTCATATCGAAAAGGAAGTCAACCAGCAAACGAGCGAATCTTATCACAAGTCCTGATGGATGTGTACTAAACAGTCTAGAGATAGCTGAGATTTTGAGCTCACTTCCAAGCTCGACTTAATACTGACACAAAACTAATTAGAGCATAAATAACTAATACCTCTGTTACAACCTAATCACAGAGACCAAAAAGCATAGGAGAAACTATCTAGGTTCCGTCCAGGCAAGTCCCCTAGCTACGATAACCTGACAACGGTAACCCAAAAACCTGAACTGAGATGTTCGCAAAACCAATCTGTAACCTCTTCAAACACCTACTAGAGTCATAAAAATTCCCTAAATGGAAGCACTCGATCTTGCCACTCATCTTCAAGGGAGGAGGAATGCCTGGTAGCTACAGACAGATTGCGCTACTCCCTATACTGTCCAAAGTATTAGAAAGCCTGAAAGCCAACGAGATCTGGGAATTCCTCAAAAGGGAAAACACCGTCCATACTCATGACTTTCGGAGTGATCATTCATGTACCACTAACTTGCTAACTGCCTGGGACGACTGGACACTTAGCTGGGACAACAGCGAACCGGTACATACTGTTTTTCTCGACCAAACTAATGCATTCAACAGTGTTCCCCCCAACAGTCCTGCTTCATAAGATCATGTCAGCTAGTATAAGTGAACCCCTACTATCTTGGTTCAAGGAGAACCTAGAAGGTAAGCAGTTCTGCACCAAGATAAACAGATTACAGTCGGAGTGGGGACCATCAACGTCAGAAGTATCTCAAGGAGCGACCACCTCTGATCATCATGTTCGTCGACGATCTGCCACACAAAATCTCACCCATCCTTCTCTTCACTAATGACGTTAAAATGTGGAGGGTAGTAAATGAAGAGGCCAACTGTACAGTACTACAAAATGACCTGCAGCAACCTGAACTCTGGTCGTCAGGAAATGGCTTGAGCTTCAACCCGGAAAAGTGCAAAGTAATACACATCAGCACCTATTGAGCAAGGACGGTCGACTTCCAATACATGTTGAGCAACCATGCTCTCACCTCAGTACTCACGGATATGGATATGGGGTTCAACTTCTCCGATACTGTGAACACCAGCTCCAACTAAAAAGACACCTTGGTGCCATCACCACTGAACTGTTCCTGAGTTTTCATATTCCACGTACAGCCACATCCAGAGGTCTTCGATACGGTGGCACCCCCAACACTCAAGAAAGACTAATTTCCTTGAAAAAATACAAGGA